CCGCTCCCCACCCCCACCCCCGCCCCCCAGGCAGGCTGGGTGGAGCTCAGGTCCCAGGCACCGCCTTGGACAAAATCTTCTCCACCCGGGCTGTTTGTGGGTGAGCCTGGCCCCCGCTGTCACCAACTCCCCCAAAATAACTGTTCCTCCTGGAGGATACTCGCCGCGGGACCACGTGGGCGTCCACTTCCGCTGGGCGGGTGCCTGGGGAGTCATTTTGACTCGCCTTCTGGAGGGTCCCCCTGGGAAGTCCCGCTGAGGTTCACACGGGCGGCTTGGGAGGGGGGGACCAGCCCTGGACGTCCCGGAGGGTGGAAGCAGCCACGCACCTGACGAACAGGTGTGCGTGACTGGGGAGAGGGGCCCGCCCCCAGCAGCGTCCTCTGGCTGCTTATTTGTCGCTCCGTGGCCGACCGGCTGTGCAGGCAGCCACCAGACCGGGCATTGTCCTTGCTGGAGCTCATGACATCGCACCTGTCTCTGTTTTGCAGAGGGGGGACCTGAGGGTCACAGAGGTCACCCTGTTTGTCAGTGGCTGAGCTGGGACTTCTCAGTTCACGCCAGAGCGGGGAGGGGTGGAGAGGCCCTGACTCAGCTTGGGGGAGGGGTCCAGCTGTTCCAAGGCCGTGACACCGTTCGGGACCCTTGGCCCAACGGGAGTGGCCAGGCTTCCAGGGCAGCCTCCCGTGGAGATGCTTGGTATTGTAGGCAGGTGACAGGGTAATGAGAAGGGGGAAGCCACGGATTCACGGGTCTGTGTTTGAATCCCAGCTCGTCGGCTCTTCCACCTTTTCACCGTGTGACTTTGGGCAGCTGGCTTCACCTTTCTGGGCCTCAGTCTGGCTCCTGTAAAATGGGCCCAAGGACACCCTTTCTTGGAAGCTGAATGCCACAGTGCACCAGAGCACTTGGCACGTTTCCCGGTCTTGGTGTGTAAAGGGGGCTGGAGTATGAGCAAGTGGGGAGGAGGCTGGTGGGGTGGTGTCTGGGCAGCCTGGCCTGGGAGACACCCACATGCATCCCTTAAGGGCCGTTCTTGTTATTTCTTTCTTTTTTTTAAAGATTTCTTAGGAATTTTTAGAGAGGAAGGGAGAGGGAGAGAGCAAAACATCAATCTCAGAGCGAAATATCGATTGAACCTGGTTATGTGCCCGGATAGGGAATTGAACCTGCAACCTTTGGGTACGCGGGGTGACACCAGCCAACTGAGCCACACCGGTCAGGGCCAGGGCCATTCTTCATCCAGGGGTAACTCACAGAGTGCCTACGGCCCCCTGCATTCCCCGAATGGGGGAGAGGCCTCGCAGGAAGACGGTGATAAGATAATTGTACGTTGGGTCAAGGACAGGGGAGGAAGTTGAGCAGAGAGCAAGAGCAGCTTTTTCCAGAGCAAAGGGAGGCCGCTGGCCTTTGGCCGGGCATGGGGGTCCCATGAAAGTAAGGACAGAAAAGAACACTCAGCTTCAATGAAGAGCAGACAAGTGTGTCGGGGCGGCTCTGAAGCTCCACTGGGTGTGCCCCGGAACTCAG